AACACCGGTTAAATGCCGATCCAAGACATTTCACAACCGTATTCTCCAATAATGGGGCACCAGTGACATTCGTATTCTCAAAAATTCAAAGATGTATCATATTTGGACAGAGCAGGCTAAATTATTTAAAATATTCATGACTAATTCGTAGATCTAGCTATATATTATACATAAGATGTGTCATCCTCTTCGGAGTTGCGTTGTGTTACACAAAAACTGATCAAAGATGCTGGAAACTAGGATTTTACGGCTTCAATCTAATATTAATACGTTTTCTCTTGATTAAGGCCCCTTGTGATATGCCTGGCATTATAAGTATACCAAGTATCATTCATTGACCAAGTAGGATAAAAAGAAAACGTTCGAAAGTGTTCATAAAAAGCAAGTACTCACCTCGTCTGTTTATAGGAACAGAAATACGGTCACACTCGTAAGCTTAGAACCGGTCATACTCAATATACGCGGATACTCTAGTTACCCGTGAGTGTGGTTAAAGTGTTCCTGAAACTATGGAGGAGCAGGACATTAACTTTAATATGATTTAAGGTTACCATATTATTAATAGGGGTTAAAAGGGTTAATGCTTGTTAAATATATTTTTGGATTTACTGTACATGATAAATCTGTTATACCTGTTATTCTGGTATCTAAATTGTTTCATGCATCTTCTTCATCATCAAACGAATATTTATATTAAACATATGTGACACAAATATGAGAATGTTTTATGAATGAAGCATGAATTATTTGTCTCAATTATTATTGATTTATTGGTGTATATTTTAATCTTTGATTATCCCAGAGTTTAATCTCTACATGATATTTCAGTGAAACTCCTCGATTTTTGGAAACTGGTGACCTATAAAAGTGAACTGTTGACAAACTGATACCAATCAAACAAATTTCAATATGCTCCCATACCAATTAATTTGTACAATATTATTGGCAGTTAGATGTTAATGACACCACAAAGCCATACCAAATGTCAAATAAGGACCCAATACCAAATTAAATATCCAAATATAGGACCAAATATCTGGGAAACAATCAAAATCAAGCTCAATTTTTATTCACTATCAAAGAGGATGATGTTTGAATATGACTATTCACTGTTCATTGAAGCCTGCTTGGCACCTTTCACCTAACTGTGACCAATGACAATTCTGCAATAAACTTTGTAAAATATATAAAAAGTGTAAGCACTGGAGATTAAAGTAACACATTTACGATTCTAGGCCGAATTTCGACAATTTAAGCGATATGAGTCAAGAAAATAGTCTTACCTTTCTATTAGGATGGGTTCAGGTGCCAAAAATATCTGATCCATGGATATATATCATTTTGAAATTTGGATGCAAGAAATATTTTTTCGGAGCCATGTTTTTTTTACGACTCATAACAGGAAATAGATTATCTAAATGAAAACTGAATTTACATCATCAATCCTGGTTTTGACTTAAAAATTTACCGAAATAGATATTTAAATATTATTAAAATGATTATTTTTTTATTAATCTTATGCAGTGATTCGACTGTCTTCTAAAATTTATAACATAGCTTTAGAATTACGGTCTCATTCCATCATGCCAGTGTGGCCTAATGGAGAAAGGCGCTGGACTAAGGTTTTGATAGTTTGAATCCAGCTGTCGGTGGTTCGATTCCCGCTCAAGACTAAGGTTTTTTTTTTATATATCTCTCAGACACGATTTTTTTTAAAAATCTCTTTTTATACAACATATAGTCATATCTATTACTTTTTGAGGTTTTAGATTTTAGATACATCGTAAATGTGTTACTTTAATAACAGTATATAAGATGAGTATTTGCTATTCATACCAAGGTATGGGAAATCTAACAATTTTAAGCAGTGTAAAAACTAAATTGAATTAAAAGAATTCCATTATATATAAAAACCACTGACCATAAGATTCAAAGGTGTGGGTTGGGTGTGGTATGAGTGTGGTTTGGAGTTGGTATAAGAGCAGTACATGTATGGGTGATATATAATATGAATAAAAAGTGTGGTCTAAAATTGTGGGAAAAGTGTGGTCTTTAAGTCAACAAACCCAAAAATGTTTACATAAGTTATAACAACAATGTTCAGTTCCACAGCTAGGACAAAATGAGTTTTAGCTCAGATAAAGATTTAATGAAAATTAGCATCTAAGATCCATCATTATACTTATAATTATTAATCAAATGATTAATTATTATCAAATAATTATTATTCATACTGAAAAGGGGACACATTGACGTAACGAGCCTTAACTGAACATACAGAGGTAATCATGCCACCTAGATAGATATATATCACATTTTAGTACATTTTTAAGCACAAAATGTTCAGAAAAGTATCATTTAAAGCTCTGTAGATTGAATTATCAGTGAAACTTCCTTACAAATCTGAAATATGGTCCCCAAGCACAATAATGTACATTACAAATGTTTACCATAAAGCAAAGATATGTAAGACCTTCACTGAAAATGATAATATAGAAGAAAAAAACACTTCGACCAATTCACGAAAAAAGATCACATGATTATGAATATAATATCTCCCACAAAATGCATCAACTTGGGTTGTTGCTATAGAACAACATACTATCAACCTTTGGTATCAATTTAAGATGTATTTATCAGAATCTCACAGTTTTTACTAAAACTGCTTTTAATAATATGTCCATATAACTGTAGCTTTAAGGGTGATTAAGCACAAAATATGTCATGGAAAATAAAGTTAAATAAAAATCACATTGCTAGGTTTCCTCATTCGCCAGAGTTTAGGTTTTTTGAAAAGATATTGAGGACTCAATTTGTCCACAAAGCACATTCTGGAATGTGTAATAACAAGTTAATTGACTTATTGAACTATTGTTTTTATAAACTTATCAGCAACATCCTTTTCTTATTTAATTATTAGATTAAGACTCTTGATTACAATTATAATCTTATTATTTAAATTAACATTGATATAATTCAAATAAATTCACTAACTACAGGTATAACTTTTATCCTCTTGACTCTGCAAGTCTTTGATGTCTAAGAAATAATAAAATCATGTCTGGACTATATTTTAACATATTGATTACATGTATTTGTATCCTTTTAATACAGCAGACACATCCTGTTATTTTTTAATTAGTCTTATTATAAGATTAGTCAGTTCAGTCAAAATAAGCTTCATAATTCATAAAAGTCAAGCATCATTCATTTGACTCTAACCCTTATGTCATTTTACTGAAATATTTTGTAAAGATTAAACTGTTTAACATCAGTCAGAGTATAAATGCAGTGTTCGCGTTGACGCCATTTTTTTGCCATTTTTACGGAAATTTCAGAAGGTTGGACGTAAAAATCAAAATCAACTTACGTCCCTAGGACGCAAAAATTATAAACTGCTTCAAGATAACTTTTACTGCAGCACAGTAGCGGTGAAACATGATTTCCATCAAGATTTTCAAACTCACTACCTCAATACGAGCAATGATCCAGGTATATTTATATCTACAAATCTGATTGGCTATCATGACTACCGAAGATTAACAGGGTTTCCAGTATGAGACATGGATTTTGATTGGTTCCGATATATTCCGGAAAATGCCGCAATCGAAATGGAAGATCAAAACATACAATATATAGCAGAAATCCCCTGTGGTTCCCCACAAATTGAAACAATTGTTTTTCAAGATTATCTTTATTATTTCCACTAGAAACCATTATATATTGATCTAATGTTATACATCAAGATAATTGTTTAATGATAGATCGAGGTTTTTCATCTAAAAGTCTTCAGAATAAGGAGAAATGATAATAAAAAGAAGCAAAAGTTCACGACCTTGACATGACCTTCAAGATCGCAAGTTTGTAAAATGTGAAAACGAACTCTTAATTTGAGCATTTCCTTTATTCATTTCGGACTATTTTGGTATAACATTACTTAAGAATTGTGTGAAAAGGACCCAGTGATAGATATTTATCGGATGCATCAAATTAAAATATATGTCATTTTTATTCCATTTTAGTGTAAGCACTCTATTATCGCCCACTTTATTTTCACTTTCACAATATTTTCTTGAACTTTTGAAGAAATAAGAGGGACGCAAAAAAATTGGATGGGGACTCAAATTTTTCAAATGGGTTGCGTCCCTGGGACTCAGAAATTTTAATAGCTAGCGCGAACACTGAAATGAATAAACACAAGGAGCACACGCATCTCGAACTCGCAATGTACATGTGATCAAATTAACCCATCTCCCAATGCTTCGATCATACAACATTCTCATAGTTGCCACATGTGTAATGGAATATTTGATAGAAGATTCATAAAACAATTTAGATGCCAGAATAACAGGTATATCACTGGCTTATCATGTACAATACAATGTATATCCTAAAATATTTTATGGCAACCATTAACCCTTTTAGTCCTTGTTAACAATATGGTAATCTTAAATTATATTAAAAGTGAATGTCCTGCTTCTCCATAGCTTCAGGAACACCTTAACCACACTTTCTCATTATGAGGAGAAACTATGGGAAGATGTTTCTTGGAACTGTGGAAGAAATACCAGCAGGGTCCACATTTTTATGAGTGCCAAAACAGGTGACCACAACCACACTTAAACACATCTTGACAGGTAAAAATGTGGTTTAAAAAGGTCATCTTTTAACCACATGAGGGAAAACAAGCGTTTTTTCCTAAGGGTAATGAATATGGTCAGAAGTTAAACCTAGTCAGACTGATTTTATATGCCTAAATACATGCATGACATATTAATTTTGGCATCTTTTTTTTTTATTATATTTACAGTAGTCATTTTGAGAAATGATGGCTGGTAGTATGTTTGATAGGATTTGCTACATATTGAAATTGTGGTTATCTAGTATTTTATATGTATTATATCAAACAAGAATAAAGCATTTGCATAACTACCATCTTGCTGACATCCAAACAAAAATACACATTAATATAGTCATTTTTCAAACCTTTTTATTTTTAGGTGTACACAAAGGAGAAACTTGAAAGAACATATTAACAGCTGTAACAATCTAACCCAACTCACTCCTGAAGAGGACTACATACTTACCCCCAGGGTTTCTAGAGTGCTGTTAAAGCTGGCCCACTTAGTGTGTAGAAATCAACATGGGGGCAAATAGCAGCAGTATCAGTGAGCTTCATAGCAATGAATACCTGAAGAAACTATCAAGTACTGAGGTGATCAGCCCTAATGATCCATTCTGGAATCAGCTTCTCTCATTCTCCTTCATAATCCCCATTAGCAGGTAGGAAAGGAAGAGATCATAGTTTTCATGTGATAATGACAGATTTTGACAGCCAAAAACTTTTTATGACTCAGGCATTCATTGATTTGTGTCTGTAACATTTGTTAGACCTTATCATGGGTTTGTGTTTATGCACTTGCATTTTGCAATGAATAAGTGGTATAAGGATAAATGTCATCACAATTACTGGTTATGTTAGTTAAAAGAAGTTAGTAGCAGTATTTTGATGACCTTTGATTGGATTTAAACTGTGGTCTGCCGTATTTATATACTTGTTCTGTATAGTATTGTTCATTGTTTCTTATTTCCAGCCCTGACTGCCGGCTACTTGAAGAGTCAACATCTGTCATTTGTAAGACATTCTCCACAAACAATATAAAGACTGGAAACCTTGCATCTTTGGTCCAAGTGTTCTTGCTACGCTCTGCTGAACTTAAAGCCTCAGCACAATGTGAAGAGTATGTAATATTTGAGATATGTATTTCATAGATTATGTATGGGTTTATGGGTATGGGTTTGGGTTATGTATGGGTTTTACCATAAGGGAAATATTTGTATCTCACAGAACTGTCCAGGTGTATCAAAGAAATCAGGAGATAACACCTTTACACTGATTCTACATGTAAAAGGAGGCAATTGGGGTTTACAAAAGTACAATTTTTTTCTGATCATTTAAGCATTTAAGATATGTCATAGGCAAGTGTTGTCGTGTAAACAAGTGTGTGAATCTAAAAAGGCTCCACAGTTAAGAATGGCGCCCCTGTTCCTTAAAACTGCAAATGTAAGGTGCATTTTGAACATCAGTAGATCCAAAGTGTCTCCTTCAGATAACTTTGTTTTATATATCAACTGTTGAATAATAGAAAACTAGAAATAAAAAATAGATTCTAGACTCTCTCTGTGCATAAACTGATGAAACATAACTATATCAATATCATACTGGTAAAGTAATTCAGTTCAAAACTATTTGAATGATTATTAAGGGCTGTTTGTTCCTGTCCTTGGCATTATTTACCATTGGAATTGATGTCCTGGCTTGAATGAGACAAATGATGAGATGTCCATTTGTTTGTCTGTATAATTGTAACATACAGCTTTTTTTTAATCTAAATAATATATTGGTCTAGTCGAACTATGGCAGTCAAATTAACAAATCAAGCTGCTCATATTATATCTGTGCTACACAGCAACAGTGTATTAGAATAAATTTTGCAGAAAGTAAAGTTGTTATCTCAAGTCAGGTCAATATGAAGTTTACCATGTCATCTTAGAAATGAATCACAATTCACAATCATTTAACATAAAGTATTACTCAGTTATGATCTGCGATTTCTTGCACGTAGCTTTTTGTTATTTTGAAATGAAATATTTATATTACAATACAATACAATTATGATTTGTCATGTTTGAAGCAAGTTTATTTTTCAATAACTGTTTTTCAGCAACATCTTTACTTGGCAGACCTATAATGCTTTGTTCATAATCCGGAACATCTGTAAATACTGCATTGAGAATCTATCAGAGGAGGTCCTTCTTCAGCAATTCAAAGACAAATCATCTCAACATGAAAACAAGGAAGGTATGAATTATTTTTGTGATCACTCATTTGGATGCATTGTTACCAAACATCTGAATGCATTGTCACAAAACATCTGGATGCATTGTCACCAAACATCTGGATGCATTGTCACCATACATCTGAATGCATTGTCACCAAAGAGGGTACACATTTCTTTATGACCAGACATTGTATCAAAATATTTGGGGCTCCTAATTGTAGTTGTCTAAAAGATAAAAGCCCATTAGATTTAAAGATTGCTTTATTCTGAAGTTAATGTGCTTTTTAGCTCACCTGAATGAATTATTGTTGTCACTTATTATTATTATGGGGTTGTATTTCTCATCTTTATTTACTTAGGTGACTCTAAATGTGTAGAGGAGGGCTGTATACTGGATGACCTGTTCAACTCACTTTTTGAGCTCCTTGTGGATGTAGATGTCCTGTGAGTAGATAATATTTAAACGGTTCTTCATTATAATGAGCTGGAATGGTGCAAAAAACTGAATGGTATAGTCACTCTCAAAGATTGAATGATATCCTGGCCTATCATTGGTTGCATTGACATGAGTGAATGCTTTTAAGTAATGTAAATTATGACTGATTCAAACTTGAAAATAAGCATTTCTGTCCATATCATTATGTAAGGCTACATTGAATCCTTTTTGCATGCTACATAATTGATTTTAGATTATTAATAGAATATAAACATGTTGTGTTCTCTGATTGCAGACCATTTACATATGCCCTTCACCTGGAATCTTTAAACACACTGCTTGTGCTGTTGTCCATACAGATGTTTCAACCCAGACCAGCCAGCTCATCTCTGCTTTACAGACTCATCATGCAGGGAAAATGGTACGTCAGCTCTTAATATTACACAATTTATTGCATTGAATTCCATCAATTAGATACAGCCCTCGCAACTTATTAAACATATCTTTATTACAAAATACAAGTTCACCTTACATCGCCATATCCATTCAGTTATCCACTACTGTACTGTGGGAAATTCATTTTAATTCTATGATACATACGTTTAAGTCATTCACAGCATTTTATATTTATTAACCCTTCATGCAAACGAAACCTGCTTGATAAGTTGTTGCGACAGTGTCTTGGCATAATTTGCAAATCGGTTTATTATTGATTTGAGCAATTGGAAAAAAAACTCGAACATTAACTTAAAAACTATCCATCTTTTATCCCCGTTTCCTCATGATTTGGCTTGCCGGCCATTTTCACTTTAGTGTAAATCTAGATGGCAAACGAAAATATATATGAAATGCACATGCAACAGAACTCATAAATTATCTGTCATAGGCGACTATTTACTCAGATGTACCATAAATCCGATTATCTTGGATAATTATAAAAAGTGTAGGTTGTAAAGATCGTAATAAGATTTATTCATTTATTTTTATTTTTATCTGTGAGTGATTCCGCTCCGTCGATTCCTACTTCCAGTGAAAACTGAAGGTCATACCCTCAAATCAAAACAAAACTTGATTTCATTGGTATTTATTATATTTATGCGACTACACCAATACACATGTACATTTATGTGACTACACCAATACACATGTATATTTGATGCAGTTTCAAGGAAAACATCACCGGGGAAACACTGGACTTAGATATTAAGGATTCAAAGCCATCAGTATGTATGGTATGGTTCGTGGTTCGGACCTATTTCTGTCAAATGGCACGGCCTTAGATAGAACCTTAGTTTTTATGATTCAATATTCATAATTCAGTCAGTGATGTCTTCTACATACTTTTTGGATGAGGTGCTTTCTAGCTCAGGTAGATTTCCTGTAGAGTAAAGTCATGAAAAGTGATCTATTCATTGAACAGATTATAATTCTTTTATTTTAAGTAGGGGTGAGACGACAACCCGATAAGTCGAGGACTCGCGGGTTTGGGGCTTCGAGTCGAGTCGAATCGAGTCGAAGTTGATGAATGGAATCATTTTCGAGTTGAGAAAAAAATTCGAAAAAATAAAAAAATTCAGAAAAATACTGTCAATATGCATGTTTTTACTCGATATTGCGTTGAATATATAAGTTTCAATGACTTGGATATGCTTGTATTAAATTATTATATTGTATGTACACATAAATGAAAGAATATATGTAATAAAATCAGAATAAACTTACGACGAATTGTGTTTGTTTATATTTCCGGCTTTCCACCATTGACGCATTAAAAATACGAACGGTCAAAAGCGATGTTGTTCGCACTTTATCTGACTCGAAACGGATTCGAAACTCGAATCGTCATTTTCTGACTCGAATCGGATTCGACTCGAATCGGATTTTTTCGAGTCGTCTCACCCCTAATTTTTAGTAATATAAGAAATATACAAGATGGCCACTGAGTTCCTTTGCTCTGAGAAAAACTGACAACTCAAGTACCGGTATTGTTATGAGATTCTGACAAAACTTTGAAGGCTAATTTTGCAAACCCTTTAGTAAACTCCATTGTCACAGTGTACAAATGAATGGTTTGATCACTATTTGGATTGTCTACCATTGAAATGATTTGTGTCCATGAGTCATTACACAATGTCTATATTGTATATCATTATCACAAATTTTATTGCCTAATATTGACATACAAGATTCATCACAAAGTACATAGTGCACCTTTCATCAACATAATTGAAGTATCTTCTGGAGAGATTTAGACTTTTTCACATGATTTTCTTGTAATATCATAAATTCTTTCATACAGTTTGTCAAATGTTTCCACAAAGAGGCAGTCAGGATCAGCTAATCTACTCCACTCACTGCTACCATCAATGCCTCTATTTCCAAGTTCTTTTTGCCTGAAACAACCATAAAAACGCATTCTTAATAAACGCCTGATATAAAATATAGTACAGTTGGATACGTAAATCCTCTGTAATGCAGGAGACAATGTTCATATTGAATATAAGAGGTCTATGGAATAACTGAATCTCATGGATTAATTTTCGTCATATTTGGCAGACAGTTTCATACAGTAATATGAAATAGTCTCTGCCTTGAAAATGACTGGAAACTTTTGATTTTATGCTTTGAGTGAGCTATTGTTGAATAAAAGAAAACTATATATTTGATACAGGCAGATATACCTTGGGATTGCTAGCGTTTTAAAATCTCTAGTATAAAAGTATTTCAGAATACCTTTCTAACAATCTGACAACTTGATCAAGCAGGTTTTGCATTTTATTTCCAAAATTACCTATGTATGGGTGTCTATATGATAGACACTATCCTTTGCAAAACCTGTCTTAGTGAATACCTCTCTCTAGTGAAGACCCTACCTCCACAGCAAACTCTACTGACTTCTGTATAAATTACCCTCTCTGTAGTGAACACCTACCAACACTAAACATTTTTTCTTGCCAAAATGTTCAAAATAGACAGGTTTTACTGTACTTGAAACTTTTGAGATATCAACAATGTATCCATTTATCACATAGAAATCAAAGGTATTTAAATAGTAGATTGCAAATATTTCATTGTGAAGTATTTCTTATTATGAATACTGATTTTGATATACATGTATGAGTAAATTACTACTTACCTAATATTGTCTAGACCTATAACACATCGTCTCACATTTGGATACTCTGCTTTGAATTTATCAATTTGTGCTAGGGTGTCATTTACTCGATTTAAGGGATTTGTAAATCCATCAGTCATCATTAAGAAGATTCCCTGCAATTTGGTAACATTTTGTAATGTGTAACACTTTACTAGATTGCAGCAACCATATTTTGTGGAAAAATCAAGAATTCAATGAGGGTCCTAACCTTGTCTAGTCTATTTCCTTTTAATATTGATAATAAGGAGTCATACCTTTTTGTTTTTTCTTCTTCCATTTGCCTCAGTAAAGTAAACATTTCTAGCATCATCTATAGCATCATATGTTGCAGTTCCACAGGGTTTGCCATCAATAGAATATTTCTCAAAACGTTCAATCACCTAAAGGAATAAGAATTCTTTTGCTGTAACTCGGAAAGTAATGGAGCGATTTTGTTCATATTTGGTATGTGAATACTATAAGCATGTCACACTGTCTAATGACACTTTTGGTAGAAGATGGCCATTTTGAAAAATGGCTGCCATTTTTGCTATATACTTTGTTTGTAAAAATGCCAGCCATGGCTGTTCGATGGGATTTACTACGCTTTGGCGTTGCTGTTGTCTAGTTGGGATTTGGCCTAGTAGTATTGGACTTTTTGAGTCAAGGTGGTGCTTTACCTCTTTTTTAATATTGAATTCATTCAAATATGTTATATGTTTCAACTCCTTTGAGAATGTGTATCCAGCAACTTGTGTTTGCCCTGGTTTTATTGGGAGCTTCTTCAATACTCTAGTTATAAACTGTTTCATTATAATTTTGTCGACTTCTTCAACAGAACAACTGACATCAACAGCAATTACAAGGTCAATTCCACATACATCAATGTCCCGGTCATCTGTAAATTATCAAAGTTCCATGATATATATAATGTTTTAATGAAATCTAGTGTCTACATTAATCAGAACAATAAAATACATACATACATAATAGTAGAATTGTCTGATCTGAACACCACCAGGGGTTTATTTCTCGAAAGTTTGTAACTTTGCGAATACTAGCAACTTTTTCTCAAAGTTACTAAACAATGACGTCAAGTGTGATTTTTATCATAACTTTAGGTACACCTCTGCAAGTCTTGTAAGTTTTCCCTAAGTCTCTTTGACTTACTTACTTTTGTTGATAACAGTTATGGACTATATTCTCACATGCTAAGATGACTCTCGCATTTATATAGTTTTCTTGGAACTGCAATAATGTCACATCTAACAATGGAATATGGGAACTAGAATCATGATGTCACAAAGCATATCATCAGTCTCGTAACTAATTAGTAACTTTACTAATTTTCGAGAAATAGACCCCATGACTGGTCATGGGTGTTTTTGAGTATCACATTGTTCATATATCAATGTGTCATAATATGGAAGTCAAATGAAGTTGAAGCATCATAATTTTAAAGTTGAAAAAGTCATAATATTGATTAACTGTGCTTCAAATAACGTTTATTGTTCAGATCTTTATAGAAAATTTTGAATCCATTTTCATTGGTACTCACCTAGTTATGCTGACGATACATCAGCGTAACAACATGGAAGAACTTTGGGGCTTCGGTTTCAGTAAGATATTTCTCGATTCTACACCACTTATAAGTCAAGTTGTGGACAATAATTTTGCTCAAAGTTAAGGAAGATATTCTAGTTTGAGAATATGCAGGCAGTTCTATGTTTGGTATATTAACGAAGACGTAATTCACATATTTAGTCCCTCGCTTTTGTTACTTTGACGATCTTCATGAATATTGTCACATTGGCAATATCCACAACTTGACTTATAAGTGGTGTAGAATCGAGAAATAGAAATATCTTACCGAAAACGAAGCTCGGAAGTTCTTCCATCTTGTTACGCTGTAGGTGAGTACCAGTCCCGGGGGGTTCACTATATATAAACCTTGACGGGGATCCTCGGCGCATGTGGGGTACCTTTTTCAACGTTTGGTATGGCAATGGACCCATATTTTAGGATTTGGTATGGGAATGCCCGGAAATTTCTGACTTCTGAGGTATGGCAATGGTTGGACTTTTGCTCTCCTGGTATGAGAATGGTCGTTGTAGATACGTTACCTAACATTCGTTGTATGGCATTGGTCCAGTAGTTGCAAATTTGAAGTTGTTTTGGATCGTTTCCCGAAGTATCTTCTTTTCCAGGGCCTTCTTCAACTTTTGAATTTTAGCCCTTTTCCCGGGAAATGAGGACCAATCATAGGCTTTGATGAAGTCTCGCGA